CAAAGGAAACAGCTTCTTATTACATTCTTGATTGATCCTCAGTCTGCACGGCTCACTTTCGTTTGTGGGGTTTTCTTTTGAACTCAGGCAGAGTATTTTCTGATGAAAAATGACCCTTTACTTTTTGGTTCCCATTTTAGCGGTTTTGTTTGTGATGGTTAAAGGTGAGAGCCATGGAGAATGAGTGTGTAAAGGAGGTTCATTTGGTTGTTGTCAATGTGAAAGCATTGATCTGAAAATGCAGGAAACTTGATTTGCTAGAGTTTGTGAGTGAGTTTGTTTATAAATTTTTACTCCTTTTTGGCCTGTGTTTATCTTTTAAAAATCGTTTCTTGATTGCAATTAACCCAATCAAAGCAATGAGAAAGCACGGTTGGCAGCTTCCTTACCATCCACTCCAGGTATCATTTTTTTATGTTTGTAAAAAAATATATATATATACATATATATATTTTTAATATATATGTGTATAATTGCTAAAGATTTATTTGAAATGAGAAAAGATGTATACTTTGTGCAGGTTGTAGCTGTAGCTGTATTTCTGGCATTGGGTTTTGCTTTCTATGTTTTCTTTGCACCTTTTGTGGGGAAGCATTTGTTCCAGTACATAGTGATGGGGATATACACTCCACTTGTAAGCACAAACTGCATACTTATCTTTAAAATATTGTTTCATAATTGCTTTTCTTTTAGTGGGCTCTTGAAGAAAATGAGATCTGTTTCCCTTCTCCTTTTGAATTCTAGTTGTGTTCTTACCTTAATCCCAGAAAATTAGATTTGTCTTGTAGATTGCTTGCTTGCTTTCTTTCTTTCATTTTGTATGCCATTCCATGTCTGAATGAGTTCTGGAATATGTTGAGAAAAGCATTCAAGAAGTTTCTTTTTTATCATTTTGCTGAAAACTGTACTGTCCCTAGCCTTATACTTCTACCCGGTCGACTTCTCTCAGCTAATTTGCGCGTTTGGCCTTTACATTTGGTGTGCTGGTGCTGACCCTGCCGATCCTGGAGTCTTTAGATCGAAAAAATATCTTAATATCCCAGATAACAAGAAGCCCAGTAAACCCAACGAGTCGAAGAATGGCGGAGAGTCAACTTCAACCGGCTGTGATGCCAATGGTAGTGCAATTTGTGAGGAAGCTAAAAATAAAGGAAAATTGGATGATAAATCGGGAGCTCGCTGTGCTAAAGAAACTGAACGTAAGGGCAGATGCTTCCTGGGCATTCTGGCTTTATTGCCATGTGCTTACATTTGCAACTCACACGAGGAATCTTCTTGTCAACAGAGTGAAGATGGGATGTTCTACTGTAGCTTGTGTGAAGTTGAGGTTTGTGGAGCATTTTGGTCAAATATGTTCATAAATTCACTTACTCATATCAAATATCATTCCTTGATAAATATGAGATTCAGATGGTGTTCGGCTAAGTTTCTTTTATAAATTTTGTATGCTCCCGCGTGTTTTATAAACTAAATCTTGAATTGTATGGATAAGTATAGACAGTGGTGACTGTATAATTTTAACAATTAAAATTAGATGTGCTTTGAATAAGTTGTTATTTTGAAGGAAAGTTGAAATCCCTCAAATTATTATTATTTTATTTATATTTATTTTAGGACTTACAATCACCTAATAACTTGAGTTTATAATCTCAGCCTAGCACTCTCTTATAAGGCTTATATTAATGTTCTGTGTATCTGACTAAAATGTTTTCAAACTAACAGGTTTTCAAGTACAGCAAGCATTGCAGAGTCTGTGACAAGTGTGTCGACCGTTTTGATCATCATTGCAGGGTAAGTTAATTTTTTTACTGTTGGCCTAATTTTCACTATTATTGGACAAACCCTTCTAATCCTTTTTTTTTTTTTTTAATCTTGTAGTGGCTAAACAATTGCATTGGCAAAAGGAACTACCGAAAGTTTTTTACTCTTATGGTGTCTGCACTTCTCCTGGTATACTCAAACATCAATTTTTCTATCGGCCTTTATATAATGCATTGTATTTTCAGAAATTTGCTATTTATGTTCGGTTTTACTTCAGACCCATGAAACTACATTATCCTTTCTTTGTCCTGCCTAAGCCTATTTTTTACGAGTTGTGTGTGGTAAATGGAAAACATAATTGGATTAATCAAAGAACATGCGAGTTTTTAAGGGCTCGATCCCAAGTTAGTTTTGTATTCTGATAAGTTTATACATTTTTGTGTGTGTTGGACCTGAGATTGCAGCTTATACTTCAATGGTCAACTGGAATCCTTGTACTTATCCTTTGTTTTCTCGAGAAGAACAAATTTTCCACCGAAATTAGCTCCAAGTTAGGAAGCAGTTTCACTGTGGTTCCTTTTGTAATTGTGGTGGTGAGTTTATATTGTTCTCATTCGATTTTGCATTCTTTGATTAAATTTTTCTAATGAATCTTAACTAAAAAAAGTATACTCTGTAATGTCTGCAATTTCTTGCAGGCAGTGTGCACCATATTAGCCATGATTGCAACTCTGCCGCTTGCTCAACTCTTCTTCTTTCACATCCTCCTAATCAAGAAGGTTATAATTTCCCTATCCTTATCCTTGTTTATCTTGTTTGTTTAATTTGATTAGTTACAATGAGCTGTTTATCCTTGTAATATAGGGTATAAGCACGTACGATTACATAATAGCTCTAAGGGAGCAAGAGCAATTAGGTGGTGGAGGCCAACAAAGCCCTCAGATGTCTCCTGTTAGCTCGATTACGGGAATAAGCAGTGCAAGCTCTTTCAACACTTTCCATCGAGCAGCATGGTGCACACCACCTCGACTCTTTGTCGAAGATCAGGTAAATAAGTATTTCTACCAATAATTTTATTTATGCATATCATTTTAATAACTCCTTCAATTTGCTTGTAATTGTGTTTTGGTACAGTATGATGTGGTACCTCCTGACAATGTTTCGGTTAGCTCACTCGGGAAAAAAACAGTACCCGACGAACAAACCAAGAAGAAGAATCCCGGGCCTGTAAAGATCAGCCCGTGGACATTGGCCCGCTTAAATGCGAACGACGTGTCAAAGGCAGCTGCTGAGGCTAGAAAAAAGTCCAAGATCCTCAGGCCCATATCTCGGCCCGATTCAACCTTTGCCCATGAAACTGACAGCAGCTTTGGCAGCAGCAGCCGCATGATGGGCTCGAGGCCCGATAATAGCGGTCGAAAACGGGGAAGCAGGCGAATCCGCCTCCCAGCTGAGGTGCCCCTCGACCCTCTATCTAGACTTCGAGGACTGGGCCCGTTACATC